GGGCTGCCAGTTTGACAGCCCTGCTCTAGATGGCTGATAACCCTTAGGGAGAATAACCTCTGACCTACTTTCATTGACCTCCTAGTGTAATCATTCACCATGTATAGCCAGCAGCGTCTTGGGTTTGGCATATATTTGGGGGAGACAACTTGGGAGAAATCTTTCGTGTGTGTGTGTGTGTGTGTGTGTCTGTGTGTCTGTGTGTCTGTGTGTCTGTGTGTCTGTGTGTTTTCCTTTCTCTTCTTTTTTCCCCCTCTTTTCTTTTTCTCATCTTTGTCCATAACAGGATAGGTAGAGTAACTGAACATGAGGAGAAAACAACGGAGCTGTCGGCTCTGGGGGCACATAGGAGAGGAGGAGGGAGCCAACAAACCCAGGGACAAGGGAACAATAAGAGATCTAAAATCGATGGCAAGGAGGGCATGGAGTATCTGATGGGGTTTGATCATGTGCAGTGTAGCCCAGAGAAAGTACTGAGAGTGGAATGAAGGTCAAACATGTAGTGGGATAGGAGGAAAGTAAGAAGACAGAGGAAAGAACTAGGAGGCAAAAGGCATTTATAGAGGCATAAATTTAGGCATGCATATGTGTAAATACATTGACATAAAATGATAGGGCTATAGGTCTGTACACATATATTTAAATGTTAAGCAGTTGTGGTCTTAAAGGCTTAAAGCAAAACAAGGGGCCAGCTACCAGGGAAGCAACAAAGCCCACATGGAAGAAGCACACCAGCCTTTGTGATCACGAGGTATCGAAGGGATCAGGCATCAGAAGACCCCAAACAAATATATTGATATAAATGATGGGGGTAGGAGTGAAGACCCAAAAGCCGATCTGTAGATAATGGGACTATCCCTCACAGAAGGGTCACAAGGAAAGAACGAGACAGCCAGGGTGCAGCACAGCACTGATGGAACACACAACGTTCCTCTAGCTCTTTAATGCTCCCTGCCCACCACCCCACTATCATGACCCCAGTTCTACCATACAATCCCGGTTAGACTGGAGCATGTGCACTGGTACAGATAGGATCTCTCGACACATGGAATCCAGGATAGTTAAACCCCTCAGGAACAGCAGTAGGACTGATGATGCCATGAGGGTAGGGGGAGGTAGGAGAAGAATGGAGAAATGGGAAACTGACAATAGTGATGTATAATATACACCCACTCCCCAGGGGGACGAACAACAGTAATGCGAATGAAAGGAGACAGCCGGCGGTGTAAGATATGAAAATAATAATACATAATTGGTCAGGGGTCCATGAGGGTGGGGGAGGGAGGGGAAAAAAGGAGCAGATACCAAGGGCTTAAACCAGTGGTTCTCAACCTGTGGGTTGTGACCCCTTTGGGAATCGAACAACCCTTTCACGGGTCTCCCAATTCATAACAGTAGCAAAAGTGATGAAGTAGCAACAAAAATAATTTTAATACAGCATGAGGAACTGTATTAAAAGGGTCACAGCATTAGGATGGTTGAGAACCATGGGCTTAAACAGAAAGAAAATATTTTCTGATACCAAGGGCTTAAACAGAAAGAAAATATTTTGAAATTGATGATGGCTGCATATGTATAAATGTGCTTGATATGATTGATGTAAGAGCTGTAATAGCCCCCAATAAAATGATTCATTAAAAAAAAGTAATTCTCTGGAGATTCATCCAGGTGGTTGTATTTATCAATGATTTTTTTTTTCCCAAGTAATAGTCTATGGTATGGACGTGTGCAGTTTATTTAATCATTTGCACATTAAAGGGCATCTGGGTTATTTCTTGTTTGGGCTATTAGTAAAGTTGCTATGAATTTTCATGTGCCCAGTTTCTTTGTAAATACGTTTTCATTCCCACAAGACATGTTCCCACAAGTGCAATGGCTGGGTCATATGATATTTGCTTATCTATTTAAACAAATAAACTGCCAAGCTCTTCCAGAATGATGGGTCTATTTTATATGCCCAGTAGCAATGTTTGAGTGATCGTGTTTCCCCACATTCTTTCCAACATTTCTTGTCACTAGTGTTTATTTTTCCTTTTATTGTATGACAAGGTTCCAACTTAGGACGTCAGTTCTGATGTAAGCCAAGTACCCCTTTATTTATTTATTCGTTTCCACTATTACTTTTTATTTTAAGTATCTATAAATCCAATGTTGATTTATCTGTGGGTGGTAGACATTACATATACATTTATAGATGTATTTTACTACATTTAGAAAATACACAGATCATAAAAGTTGGCTCTGCTGAAGAAGAGTTAGATGATGGTGTTTTGTCAGTGGCTCCCATTTGCGGAAGGTTCTGCGACATCTGTTTTTTTGTTTCATGTATTTTGTGGAAACACCTCAGTTCTTCCTGAACCTAGTGCCTGTAGCAAGGCACTCCGTATTTGGGTCCATGTTTTCAATCATTGGAAGCCCCAAAGTAGGTTACAAAAAAGACCAACTAGTCCTCTTGCAGTAAAAATAAATCGACAATTTCTTCCTTCCTCTTCTCTTCTTTAGCACTTCTTTCCTCCTTAAAACCCGTTAAGCCCTGATATGTCAATTCCCCTTTTTCGTAG